GGTTTGGACTAGAGGATCCTCAGGGCCCCTTCCAACTCTAATTCTATGATATCCTGTGATAATATGCCTCTCAATGACAGATGCTGCAGATGAGCAATGGAGGAACAATGCTTCACAGAGGCATCTGATCTGTAGGGAGCAGAGTGCTGAACTAGGAGGAATGCATAGGAAGCGCCGTTCCCATGGACCCTAACGGTTTCCTAATCAAGCCCTGCGCAGGCCTCTATCTCCCATGGATCCTTCTGTCTCGTAAGAAGAAGAAGAGTTTGGATTTGATATCCCATTTTATCAGTACCCAAAGGAGTCTTAAAGCGGCTAACAATCTCCTTTCCCTTTCTCCCCCACAAAAAACACTCTGTGAGGTGAGTGGGGCTGAGAGACTTCAGAGAAGTGTGACTGGCCCAAGGTCACCCAGCAGCTGCATGGGGAGGAGCTGGGAAGCAAACCCGGTTCACCAGATTACGAGACTAGCGCTCTTAACCACAACACCACACTGGCTCTCATGAGTATGTGTAACAGAGTTTTCATGTGCAGGGATCCATAGTGCAAAGTTATAATGGAACCTGCTGGCACCAAAGGTCCAGTGGAGGCCCCACAGCAAGGCATCCTTGCGGCAGCTCTGTGGTATATTTGGATACGAAGAGGAGAATGTGTGTGGAAGGGCTGAGCCAATTATGAGCTTAGCCTGAAATTCAGAGGGAGCTTGGACTGAGCTTGTAATGAGGAATAACACACACACACACACACACACACACACACACACACACACACATCCAATTTATTCCAGTAGGCTGTAGATCTTCTTCAGTGAAGCTTGATCTTATGCTGCCTCTAGCAGAAAGAGAGAGCACTCTTGAGGTGCAAAATGAAATGTGCTGTGGGCCCAATTGGTTTCTCCCTTGTGGCTTCTTCAAATGCTGCGCCAGCAACAGGTGCATGAGGGATCCAAATGGATGCAGCCAATTGCAAGACTCCTTCCGATATAGAGGCATCACCCAACAGTTTTGCTGCTGGAGAAAGTGCTTCAATTCGCAGCTTAGAAAGAAAGACAAATAATCTTGTTACTCTGCAAAAATCTGCCTCCAAGTTTGCCACATTGAGTTATCCAGCTTTGAGTGTTGTGCCAGCTCTTGAAATAAAATTCTTGGGCAAGGCTTATGGGTGGCATTAAGCGGTCTGGATGTGAAGCTTGCCTGCTGGAGGAGGGATTGGGCAGGTGGGAGAGCAGAACTCATATGTTGGGAGCAAATAGGAGGGACCCAGAGCAAAAGCTGTCTGCTTACTTAAGGTGTATAGCTTAAAAAAAATGACTAGAGTTGAAAACTAGCCTTGCCCCCACCCTATAATCAAAAACCCTGACCAGGTTATTCACCCTTTCCTGGACTGGTTGCTGATAACCCTACAAACTATTGATGATGGGTCATAGTAACTCTGAAGTGGGAAGTTTGTTCTCACTGCTGTACAAATATATCTGTACACTACCTGGAAATTGGCCTGAAGACTCCTGCGGTTTTGCTGCTTCTGTCTTCTTCCATGGTCAGCGAAGCTTGCTAAACCTGCAAAATCTCTCCTAGTAGATTTCATGCTCTGTGAAATGACATCAATCAAGCTGAAACTTGCATTCTGCAAACTTTTCTGACAGTGCCATCTCCAGCTGACATGTTTCCCTGTGTATTAAAAATGTATGTGTCTTATGTGTGACGCCACTGCCTATCCTGTGTGGCGTTTACCCTTTGGGTTTCCTACCCAAAAGGCCAAAAGTAACTGTAGGGATGCTTTTTAAAACAAAAACAAAAAAGACACCACCCAACAAACTATCTGATACAGACCTAGGGGGGCAGCCATGCAAATTAAATCTGTGTGCGTATGTCTGATATAAGCATTCCTCTGGAGTAAAAAAATTGGGCTATAAGTAGAACACATAATTAGCATAGTTCGGCAGCAGAATTGTGAACAAGATGGTGGGGAACGCATCCCAAATAATATTGAGCCAAGCAAGGTCTTAGGCTTCAGGCTAAGGAACCAGGACTTGCTCACGAGCCATTTTTTGCTAACATGGTTTTATTCTGCTGAACAAGAAGAAGGGAGCCATTTGCCAGGAGCAGAGCTGCCTCCTCTCCAAAAGCGGGGGAGCACTTTGCGATTTGCAGAGCAGACATGGCTCGGAGTTTACAGGTTCAACCAAAAAGCTGACCTCATTCAGATGTGCTGCCTTACGGTGTCTCCTGCTCCTTCTTGCTTCCCCTCCAGCCTCGGCAGTTAAGGTACTTGGGGGCTGGTGCTCCCATTAATCTCCAGAAATGGAAGTCCTTATCACACAAATTAGAAATGGGGAAAAGACCTGCTGGCATCTGCAATTCTTCTTGCTGCTAGGCCACATGATTCTTTGCTGCAGAGTCTCCAGACTACGTACTGTTTAGCGATTTCTGTTTTAGAAAGGGGGCACAGGGAGGTCAGCGATACCTGTTTGGAATCCTTCTGAAATTCTCTGACTTCAGCACTCACTTTCTGTCAGCTCAGCTGGCATTCAAGTCCTGACAGTTGCCATAGCAACATGGGGGAAATCATGTGACTTCACAGGTCTAAACTGTATGCTGTGGAAACCTGTATCACCCAGGGCCTCCAGTAGCCATGGTAATTGCGTCACATGGTTCTTACCTGTCTCCCAGGTAACCCTTTAGTCTCCTAAACTGCATCCCCTTAGCTGGAAAGGCTGTAAGCAAGTGGCATCTGACATCCTTGAATGATTTTAAGGGGACAAGGGGTTTTTTAACAGCTATGGTAACTAATCAGTGCTGCACGGTGACACAAACCTTCGGTAACCATGGTAACAGACGAACATCACATAGCAACATGTACCTCATCTCCCCATGGAAACCTGCTCATTAGGGTTTTTTCGTATTGATGCTTAAAAAAAAAATCCCTGCCACTGTTTGTTCTGAGAATAACTTTTATAATGAATTATACAGATGTTCAGTGTTCAGGTCGACCTGAACACTTGCTTGACATGGCATGCTGGTGACAGAATATGCACACAGTATGACCTTAGCCACACGTGGAACCATTTTCACGTGGCTATATGGGCTCTATCATTGCCTCAGTGATGTTGTGAAGTTACCATTAACACCTTCCCCACCCCACCCCATCCCACACTGGGCAGGCACCCTGGGCCTAACAGCTGAGAACCAGCTGCTATATAGCTCAGTGCTTTAGTTGCCCACAAACTCTGGTAGAATTCAAACTCCACTTTTTCTCAGGTCAGGACTTGGCAGTACCCCAAAACTAACTCTGTCTCCCCTGCCCCTCTCCCTCGGCATCATCACACATTTGCATGTAATAAACCCACATCCAACCAAAGTAGGGAGCGTGTGGCTTTTCCTTCCCTCTTCCTCAACTTCCTGCAGCAGTTGCCCTCACCCCTGTTGCCATGGTTTCTCTGTCCCTTTCCTTCCAACAACACTACACAGCAGAATTTCCATTCATCCTTATATACAATCAGAGAAATGAAGGAGATGAGAATCACCTTATCAGTGGGGGGAAATGCATGACTGAAATAGCCATGTAGCTTCTGGAGACAATTGGCCAAGACAAGCAAGTTATCCTATTCAGCTCCCATTTCTTTTTTCTTTTTTTAAAAAACCAGAGAGTAACACACTATTCCTCATGGATACAGAGTCAGTGTGGAGGCAATTTCTCCCACTGCATCCTGCAAGGACTTCCTTCCTCCTAAGGCATCTGCTTTGTTGTGGGTCTGTTTCTTTCATATAACAAGACTTATGTGGCAGGCTATTAGGTATGTCATGGGACAGTGGAAATGGCGGTTATGAAGATATTCGCTTTTGCCTTCTTGCAACCATGACAGGTTGTTTTGCTTTGTTTTTAAAAAATTTGGCAGGACGCATATAGGATTTGAGCAAGAGTTGCTCATGGCGGCGGCTTACGAAATACTATAAGAGATTTTATGCTCTCCTGAGCACCTGCCTCCAAGGCTTTGGGAAGTTTTCCTCTTCATTTGGCACATTGGGCTGTGATGAGCAGGAGGACCTTGGCTCCTCCAAGTGTAGTTTGACAGAAAAAGGAAAGAGAGACTTTGCCCTCCAGGCATCTATGAAGTTTATCACAAGGGCAACAGATCCTAAGAAAAATCTATTTGGATTAATGCAGAGGAACTGGATTTGAAGGAAACTCTTATTATACAGACATAGGAATGAAGTAGGGGAGACCAATTTTCTTCAAAACTGGCAGAACAAAGTAGGCAAGCCCCCTCCCCACTTGGAGCCTCCTAGTGTTCAGTTCTGGAGCACCTTATGCACTTTGACCTGGGGATCATTTGCTTTTCAATTCTGAAACACGTTTGTCGAATTTTTAGTCCTTCAAGTCCTTTTGGGGTATGTTGCAAAGCGACTTAATGCGTAGTATGGCCACATACAAAAGGAAGCAGGGCGTGCATTTTTAACAGAAGCCCGGAAAGAAAATCTCAGTGGGGAACAATCTTTTGGTTTTACCCCTGATTGACAAGGTGTGCCTGCTAAAAGCTCCTCCTCGATGTGTGATGCAAAGTACAGGAATCTTGTCCTCCTCCTGATGTTTATCACCTTATTGCATCAAAGGGAAGAATGAATTATTGGAGTGTAAACTGGCATAATTATGCCCAATACTCTAAATGATCATTAGCTAAAACATCATGTAAACCAAACCAATGTCCATGCTTACACCTGCTAAGCAGCACTGGTTAAGCATAAGGTTACTAGGCGTGCTTTGTATCAGCTGTGCCAATGCACAGTTAATTCATTTGGCTTGTTGAATGGCTCAAAATCAGCCCCATATATCCACTGATGGCCTTACATCCCTGCATCTTGGCAGAGAGACAGTTGCTCTGCTTGGATTCCCTTGTTATCTCCCCCATTGCAGACTGATTCAGATAACCAGTTCCTTCCTTCTAGTTACAGGTAGGTAGCCGTGTTGGTCTGCCATAGTCCAAACAAAATAAAAAAAATTCATTCCAGTAACACCTTAGAGACCAACAAACTTAGTTATTGGTGTGAGCTTTCGTGTGCATGCACAGATACTGAAGAAGTGTGCATGCACATGAAAGTTCACACCAGTAACAAACTTAGTTGGTCTCTAAGGTGCTACTGGAAGGAATTTTTTTATTTCAGTTCCTTCCTGATGCTCAGTGACTCACTCTCTCAGATACTGAAAAATGGTGTTCCCCTGATTTAGGCTGTCAGTGCGCATGGACACTGGAGGCATCATGGCCACTCTAAATTTTCACAGCAGCTCCCAGATTGTGGCAAGCTGTTTGTGTGAGGCAGCCTTGTCAATGGAGAGTGTTGGCATTCAAACGATAGATATCTTAACAGCCCCTTCTGTGTGGCTTGTCAACATTTGCTATATATACCTCTGAGCTTTCAGACATTAACAGAATTTCCCTGGGATTGTTTATCTTTGCATGTGAATGTAAATATTCATCAAATTTCAACATTCAGTGCAACATAAATACACACATCACCATGGGTAATATGATTATCAGCAAACTACATGCTTTCCAACAGCTGTACTTCACAGGCCCAGAACATTGTTTCCTTTTCACCACTTATCCAGTAACACCAAACTTAATATATTTTTAAAGAGCATATTATATGAGAGCTGCTTAGAGTCTGCATGCTTTTTCTTCTCTTTTCTAAACTGGAGAAGCAACTTAAAGACAAATCCAATGCAGTAGCCTGGGGTTTTTTTCTTTCCCCCCTTTCTTTCTGAATACAATGATCATATATGTAAGGAAAACAGAATCCTGCAGAATCCCCAGATTGCACTTTAAATTTCCAGGGTTTATGAAGCAGTCTGGAAAGTCTGATGCAAGATTTATTTAAATTGCCAGCTGCCAATGGTGTGTGCAAGCAACATTTACCTTGGTTTTCTTGAAAACTGCTATTGCACAAAAACCAATGAAGGGAATAATGTTGATGTGTGTAAAGCCCACCCCCAGCTGCAGCCATATTCATTTACGGGTGACATTTTATCCTACTGTGTGACTCTCCTTAATCTCAGCCTTTGTCCCCAAACAGAAACCTGAATTATAAAGGTTGCAAAAGAATGAGTCTGGGAATGGAAAATCATAACTACTATATTAAAACAACAACACCACCCTATTTAAGGGATTAAACCGAGATCTTGGCTTCATAATCAATTAGTCTCCACAACAGCATTATCAACACCCATGCTCATCCACCCACACATTCCATTTTGCGGAACTTATTTTATGCCACAGTGCCCTTGTATCCTGAACCGATGGCCTACAGGGCAGCAAATCGGTATGTCAAATCCGAAGTTCAAGGGTCAACCCACATAAGCAAAGTCCAAAGGTCAGGAAACACAGTTCAGGGTCAATCCAAGTAGCCAAGTCTGAAATTCAGCAGTCAGGATACAGTCCAGAGTCTAACCCAAAGCACTAACTCATAGATGTCCAGGGGTGTCCAAGTCAAGGTCCATCAACAAGGGCAGTTGAGCAGACACAGCACCTCCACTCTACTTCCCTTCTGTACTTTGCATGTTGATTGCAGCATCTGGGCTTGATGAGGCACATGACCCTCACCTGTTCCAAGCCTCCTTCAGCTGATGAATCACCCTCACCTGGCCAACTAAGGAGATGAGTTCTGTGCCCTTGCCTGCCTCAGCCTCCTAGAGCACCATGCGTGTTGCTCCAGATGCCCCAGAGCCTGCCCTGCTTGTGGAGACAGGGGCTCCTCTGGTTCTGCTGATGGAATCCTGTGCATTGACCCCCATCCTCCATTATCCTGTGAGTACCTCCTTCCTCACCCCCTGCTTGTCCCGGTGTGTCCCAGTCCCAGTTACACCCCTCTCTGGGATCCTCTTCCTCCTCCCTTTCATCCTTCCAGCTCATGACACCTTGTGTAATTGAAGTTGTGTTTTTCTTATATACCCACGACACCTGATTGAAATTCAGCCACTGTCTTCAGGCACCCAGTAGTAATGTGTATGTAAAACCATAAAAATGCCAGTGGGCTGTAAAGTATTGGGCAGCTGAGCACCTGCTGGAGCATCACTAAGCATGAGCGGGTGGAGGAACCATCAGCCTCCCCTTTAAAGGTTGCCTTACCCACCAGCCAGCTGGGAAGCAAACATGCAGGGAGAGATATTTTGATCTGCTTTACAAGGAAAACATTCTATTAGTTCGGGGGGGGGGGTTAAAGCAAAGTCAAGCTGGAACAAGAGTATCAGCTGGTAATGGACAAGGGACAGGGTGGGGGTGAGCCAAGGCAAAGCACCACTGAGCCCTGCTGGGGTGTTTGGGCCCTGGGGGTGTTCCAGTTCATCAGGTGCAACTGCAGGCCTAGCCAAAAACACATTTTTCTCCATCCCCATCATTCTGCCCGGACACTGAGTTCCAGCGCCGAGGGCCTTCTGGCGGTTCCCTCACTGCGAGAAGCCAAGTTACAGGGAACCAGGCAGAGGGCCTTCTCGGTAGTGGCACCCGCCCTGTGGAACGCCCTCTCATCACATGTCAAAGAGAACAACAACTACCAGACTTTTAGAAGACATCTGAAGGCAGCCCTGTTTAGGGAAGCTTTTAATGTTTAATAGGTTATTGAGAAGAACTTTGTTCAGAAGTCTTGCTGAATTCAGTTGGGCCAACACCCAGTAGTAAGTATGTGTAGAATTGCATTGGATTTCAGAGTTTATTGGAGCGAGCTTTACCTCTGCAAGCTTTACTCGTGATTTGAGTACCACTAGTGGTGGCACATGCTAAAGCATAAGACATATAAGAATAAGGGTGGAGGTGGGTTGTGGTTTCTAAAGATGGTTGTTTGACGACTGAGTTCTGCAGAAAGGATTCGGTGCATAACTTCTGCTGCGTTTCTAGTACTGATGCTGGACTCTGCCTTGATTCTAGAGTCTGCCTGGAGTTATAGCACATTTACTACGACGTTCTGTGCTTCACCCAGGAGCACATGACAGAGCCAATCCACGCATAGTATGGTAGGGCCTACACTCCTGATTGGTGAAGTCTAGGGCAACAAGGGGGCTTGATAGAATCACCAGAAGGTTCTGCAAATCCCAATTCCAGCAATTCCAGAAATCCAGCACTAAATCCCACAAAATCAAGCAATATTTTTGTCTACCCACTCCACTGGCAAAGTGTGGGAATAATATGATTTTTATAAGGAGATATTCTTGTGTGTGTGTGTTCTTTCTGAGAGCAGATACCTTGCTGTAGATAAAGTGCTGGTCCTTCTCTTACACCAGGATGTGGGTTTCATAGCCACTTGCGACATGTCTTTTCTGTTTTCCGAATTGCACCCGTCTCAGTGCTGCTGAAGGAGAGCTCTTTGCTTTCTCTCATTTGCAGGCTTTGTTAGACCTAATGGCATCAATGATAGGACTTGGTGTAAAAGGCACATTTGATCAGCTCCATTAAGTGACAAAAAGGAAGAAGTGAGTCGGTTCCCAGTTAATTTAGCAACAACTTGCAAGAATTAATCTGTTTCGACAGCTCCTTATTGCTTTGTGACCGGGAAGCCAAGGCACAGAGTGCATTGTCACAAGCCCCAGTTTTCTCACTGGTTCCCACATGCAATGTGCATGGCTTGGTTTCTGGTGAAGACTGTGTGAACTTGACTGACTCTGCAGAAAGCATTGTATTTTACTTGCAGATGATGTGGGGCAAAATGAAAGTAAAATGACCGAAAGACCCAGGATAGCCTGTAAACACACGTAGGCCGTTGCTTCTTGCTGCCTTAACCAGGTTATTATTAATAGGGATGTGTGAATCATGGTGACACCTATCAATCAGTAGAGATTGCTGCTTGAATTAATGGCTGTTTACTAAGAATATTGGCTGCATTGTGAATCTTTATGTGTTTCCCAGGAACTGTCTCTCTTTCTCTCTCAACTCTGCCCGCCAAGAAATAAGCTTAGAATTCCACATTTAGAATCTCTTATACAGTACTGTGTTTACATGCAGCTTTCAAGAGATAGGTTGTCCCACCCCCCACCCCCAGTTTATTAGCAGAAATCATCATTCCTGCGAATTCTGCCCAGAAGGTTTAGGTTGTCCTTTGCTACCTGGGATGATACACTAGTCCAATAAGGTTTTATTTTGGAAGATCATGTTATATGCTTTATTACAGTATTATTATTTTATTTTCCACCTTTATCGTGGATCAGAGCTTACATATAAAAATGCACAATGCAGGTGGAATAGAAAAAGCTAAAAACATAGAAAAGACAATAATTTAAAATGAATTAAACACTAATAAAATCAAAAGAATATATTAAAAAACAAATATATTAAAAGTACAGATAAGGAAAACACTAAAAACGATCATAGCACTAGCCTTTTCCTAAAGGCCTGTTGGAATAAAACAGTCTTCACCTGCTGGTGGGAGGACAAGGAGGGGACCAATCTGGCTACTCTAGGAAGGGAGTTCCAAAGTCTGGGAGCAGCCACCAAGAAGGCCCTGTCCCACATCTCCACCCAGCATGCCTGTGAGGGTGGCGGGAATGAGAGAAGGTCATTTCCTGAAGAACTCAGGACCTGGGCAGGTTCATAGGAGAGAATATGGTCTTTCAGATAGCACGGGCCTAAGCCATATAGGGCTTTTTTTGTAGGTCATGCTTTACATGGATTAAACACCATCAGGGTGCACTTTAACCATGACGTATGGTTACTTCAGGTTGAGACAGACACTGCTGCCTATTCCAACTAGACTAAGTTGGATGTGGTTCAGAGCAGCTTTGTTTGTGTGTGTGTGTGTGTGTGTGTGTGTGTTTGTGTGTGTGTTTGTGTTTGTGTGTGTTCACTCCTAATGCCATCTCTGATTTAGCAAACTTTTGGAACCAAAACAAAACCTGTTTATGGGAGGTGAAAGTGGGAAGAGTGTCTGACGTTCATGTACAACACACACACACACGTGTGGGGTAAACCTTGTTGTTTATCTCCAGCGTCAGGTAAGATAATTTTGGGGGTAACCTTATGTGGCGGGAAAACAGCTAAGTAAGTGTTGGTGGAAACGAGGTCCCGGTGGATGGGCGGTGGGTGGAGTGTGTTTAATAAGCTTCTCCGTGCAGAATGTGTGGGTGTGTTCAGGGAGTCCAGGGAAGCCATGGAGTCTGTTTT